ACGCAGTGGGGCCGGAGCTGCTTGCCCCCTCCTCGTGCCCGCCTCCACCCGCAGCAGGCTCTTGTCCTTCCAAATTGCTTCTTCCAGGGGTTTCTTACCCCCTCCTCCCCCCCCATGCCCTATCATTAATAAATCTTGAGTTGAACTTCATAAGGTTTCTTTCTGCCCAACTCTCCAGCCTGGCGAGGTCACACTGTAAGGCAGCACAGCCTTCTGGCGTGTCAGCCACTCCTCCCAGTTTTGTGTCATCAGCAAACTTGCTGATGGTACACTCTATCCCTTCATTACAGCTCTTGGAAAGGGGACTGGTGGGTCACGTCCCGCTTGGGAAACAGCCCCATAAGGTTATAGCACCATCCATGGGTGCGTCAACAGCCCCGAGGCATCGCGCGCGTCCCTTCGGAAGAGGACGAGGGAATTTCAGGTCGCTGGTGGCAGAGATGGTGGTGGCAGAGACGGCAGTGGCAGACATGATGGCAGCGGCGGCAGAGATGATGGCAGCAGGGATGATGGTGGTGACAGTGGTGGCAGAGATGACAACGGTGGCAGAGGCGGTGGTGGTGGCAGAGATGGTGGTGGTGGTGGCAGAGGTGATGGCGGCAGTAGGGATGGCGATGGCGGTGGCAGAGATGATGGTGGAGATGTTGGCAGTGGTGGTAGAGATGTTGGCAGAGATGGCAGTAGTGGCAGAGATGGCAATGTTGGCAGAGGTGATGGTGGTGGTAGAGGTGATGGTGGCAGAGATGATGATGATGGCAGAGACAACGATGATGGCAGAGGTGGTGGTGGCAGCAGAGACGACGATGACAGCAGAGATGGTGGTGGCAGCAGAAATGGTGGTGGCGGAAGAGATAGGGGTGGCAGAGATGATGATGATGGCAGAGATAGTGGTGGCAGAGATGATGATGACGGCAGAGATGATGGTGGTGGCAGAGATGGCTGTGTTGGCAGAGATGCTCTTTCACAGGAAAGAAAGACGGAGGCTCCTGGAGAGGTGAAGTCTGAAGGATGGACCTGTCCATCACAGAGGCAGAGATGCTGTTCGCCATAATAATAATGATGATGATGATGATAGTAACAAAGAACTAAACCCATTGCCATCAGAAAGGCCCTGTGCCTGCGGAGCGGCACCCAACCTGTCAGGCGAACCGAGACAACCCCGAATTTAAGGGGTCAGCAAGAAGCTGGGGCAGCGATTTAGCACTCGTGGCCGATGGCCGACGGCCCGATAAAGCCTCGTGGGGTAATTTGACGGGGGATTTGGTGGGAAAAGCCCTGTGTGACGCCACGGGGGCTCTCCAGCCAGTGGGGTTCCCCCGGGTGGGGTGGGTTGGGGGTGTCC